GTGGGATGTGAAGGGCACCATAAATTTGTGAGTTACTGAAAGGTAATTCATGGAATATCAAGGCAAGAGAGGGCTTTAAATTTAATCTGCTCCAACCGAGCATCTGATAGTTCAACTCCTACTAGAATTCTTTGTCAGTGGTTGTTTACCATCTTCTTAAAAATCTTCCATAAATTTTCAGTGGCTGAAATTGAAATATAGTGGGTTTAGGATTAATAGGAGGTATGAGAGTTGAGACAATAAATTCAGTCATATCTGTGGATAAAAAAAGAGAAGAAAGGTAACTTAAGGTAGAATGATGAGGGAATTCACTGGCATCTGAGGGAGTTCTTACTCTCTAAAGATTCTAGTTGTTAGTTCAACTTTCAATGTAAAACAAATTTCATCTTTTGTTACTTCATTCTACACACATTACTGAATATCTAGCATTTGCTAGGATTTGAGGATACATAAAAAATCAATACATACTCTTTCCCCATAAAGAAGCTTAGACTCTGGCTAAGAGTGACAAATGCTGCTCTGTGAGGAATAGTGATTTACTCCCATAAGACAAAAGGAGTTCCCTGCTGGGATGATTACACAAAGGAGGTGAATAGTTGAGTGAGAGTATTTGAAGAGGACTTTGTTAGGGGACAAAGCAGATGGATCAGGTGAGTGGGAGGCTGATGGAATACCAAGTAGTGCAATCAGGGGCATAAAATCTATGATATGATTAGTGTAGTTGAAAGTCAGATATGTTCTATCATCAGATATATGTGAAAAAGATGAGAAAGAATTTTGGGAAGATAATAGTAATTTCATTCAGAATAATATAGCATGCTAGGGAAACTCAGCTTGACCAAGCAAAGAATCTACTTTCTACTGTGTGGATTTGGTGGTTCCAAGTTAAAATAAGCAGCAAAAGACAATTGCTAGGACTAAAGCATTTACAGTACACAGGGTCTTATGTTATCCAGAACAGTGATTGGTTGGAGAGTTAAAAAAGCAGGAAATAAAATATTCAAAATATTTAAAATGTTATATACATAACATTTAAAACGTTATATACATATATTTTTATATTTTATTTTATGTGAAAAATAAGTCACACCTATTATCTAATATTTTTGATGCAAGACAAGATCTTTTCTTTAAAAATGTGTGAATTTGCTTGTTGCAATTCTCCATTTTCTTTCTTTAACCATATATATAAGCCACTATATACAATTCCTACATAGTATCTTTTAAGTAGGACATGAATTTTTTAAATGTTACTGAAAAGCAAAGATCTACATTCTAATAATGTTCCCTTCATGGTTTATATTTGACCTGCTCACACTCAATTTGACGGCAAACAGTATTTTTAGCAATTCACCTTTATCAAGCCTTTCCAGAGCATTCTAATTAGTTATCATGAAAACAACTCTCTTTTCACACTCATACTACATTAACTCACAGATTATCAATTAAATTATGTAATTATAATAATAAATGACACAAATGGTTTGGGAATACACTGTGCTAAGTATACAAGCCAACTGGTAATAGAACTGCACAAACATATCAGACAGCAGAGTAGGATAGTAGCCGGCTAGCTCTGCTTGTTCGGCAAGTCCTGGGCAGAGAATAGCATGTTCTGTGAACAGAATGGATAGTGTTAGCTGTTCTGAGTCAGTTAAGTACACAAGGGAGAAAGGAGAATCATTTTTTAAATCTCTCCTCTGTGTATATAATAGACAGTTTACAGACTGGACCAGCTTTTTAAGTCATGTATTTGCATTATGTTTCTACCAGGAGAAATAGTGATTTCAAACATTTCTGCTCTAGGTATTTTTTGGACATACTAGAAATGCTTCATTAGATCCCTCATATTCAAGAAATGACTCTTGAGTTTATATCAGAGGACTTGCTGTCCAAAGGAGTTCTACATCAAGGAAAACTGACCCTCAATTGTTATTTTTTTTTTTAAAAAAAGAATTTATGTAGGATGCAAGGAAGTCAGTCAGGCCTCTAGTCAGACAGAGACACCAAGCTAATAGTCACTATTGGAGTACCTAAAGGCTTTGCCTCACTCCTACACAAAAATATATTTGAATTTAAATTTATACCCCAGAGGACAATAGGCTGACAAGGAAGGGATAAGTATTAAAACTTTAAGCTTTATAAAGGCCATGTGGCAAGGGTAGGACCAAGTGGAGGTAACTAAATACTTTGGGGTGGTTTTCCCCATGCTGTTCTCGTGATAGTAAGTGAGTTCTCATGAGATCTAATGATTTTATAAGTGTCTGGCATTTTCCTGCTGTCACTGATTCTCTCTCCTTCCACCATTATTGTAAGTTTCCTGAGACATTCCCAGCCATGTGGAACTGTAAGCCAATTAAACCTCTTTCCTTTCTAAATTACTTAGTCTTGGGTATTTCTTCACAGCAACATGAGAATGGACTAATACAGTAAATTGGTACTGGGAGTAGTGGAGTATTGCTGTAAAGTTACCTGAAAACGTGGAAGCAACAGACAGTAGGTAACAGACAGAGGTTGGAAGAGTTTGTAGGGCTCAGAAGAAGACAAGAAAATGTGAGAAAGTTTAGAACTTCCTAGAGAATTATTGAATGGCTTTGACCAAAATGCTGACAGTGATATGGACAATGAAATCCAGGCTGAGGTGGTCTCAGATGGAGATGAGAAATGTGTTGGGAACAGGAATAAAGGTTACTCTTGATAAGCTTTAGCAAAGAGACTGGTGGCATTTTGCCCCTGCCCTAGAGATCTATGGAACTTTGAACTTGACAGCGATGATTTAGGGTATTTGGCAGAAGAAATTTCTAAGCAGCAAAGCATTCAAGAGGAAGCAGACAATAAAAGTTTGAAAAATTTGCAGCCTGATGATGTGATAGAAAAGAAAACCAATTTTACAAGTGTCTGGCATTTTCCTGCTGACACTCACTCTCTCTTCTGCCACCCTGTGAAGAGGTGTCTTCTACCATGATTATAAGTTTCCTGAGGCTTTCCCAGCCATGCAGAACTTGAGTCAATTAAACTTATTTTTTTTATTTTTATTTTTGGAAATTACACAGTCTCGAGTATTTCTTCATAGCAGCATAAGAATGGACTAATACAGTAATTTCTGGGGAGAAATTCAAACCAGCTGCAGAAATTTGCATAATTAATGAGGAACTAAATATTAATCACCAAGACAATGGGGAAAATGTCTCTGGGGCATGTAAGACTCCTTCCTAGCAACGCTTTTCATCACAGGCCTGGAGGTCCAGGAGGGAAAAATGGTTTAATGGGCTGAGCCCTGAGCCCCTCTGCTGTGTGCCGCCTCAGGACATGGTGCCCTTTGTCTTAGCTGCTTTAGCTACAGCTATGGCTAAAAAGGGGCAAGGTACAGCTTGGGCCACTTCTTCAGATGGTGTAAGCCCCAAGCCTCAGCAGATTCCATGTGGAGTTGAGACTGTTGGCTCACAGGAGTCAAGAATTGAGGTTTGGGAATCTCTACCTAGATTTCAAATGATTTATGGAAATGCCTGGATGTCCAGATGGAATTCTGTGGTAGGGAGGGAGCCCTCATGGAGAACTTCTGTTGTGGCAGTGCTGAAGGGAGACGTGGGGTTGCAGCCTCGACACAAAGTCCCTACTGGGGCACTGGCTAGTGGAGCTGTGAGAAGAGGGCCATCATCCTCCACCCCCAGAATGGTACATCCACCAACATCTTGCACCATGTGCCTGGACAAGCCACAGGCACTCAACACCAGATCATGAAAGAAGCCAGGAATGGGGCTGTACCCTGCAAAGCCACAGGGGAAGAGCTGCCCAAGGCTGTGAGAACCCACCTCTTCAATCAGTGTGATCTGGATATGAGACATGAAAGGAGATCATTTTGGAACTTTAAGGTTCAATGACTGCCCTACTGGATTTTGGACTTGCCTGGGGCCTACAGCCCCTTTGACTTGGCCAACTTTCCCATTTGTAATGGGTATATTTGCCCAGTACCTGCAACCCCATTATGTCTAGGAAGTAACTGGCTTGCTTTTGATTTTATAGGCTTTTAGGCAATAGGGACTTGCCTTGCCTCAGATGAGACTTTGAACTTGGAGTCTTGGGTTAATGCTGGAATGAGTTACAATTCTGGGGGACTTTTGGGAAAGCATGATTTTGTTTTGAAATGTGAGGACATGAGAATTGGGAGGGGCCAGGGGGAAGAATGATATGGTTTGGCTCTGTGTACCCACCCACATCTCACTTTGAATTGTAATAATCCCCGTGTGTCAAGAGTGGGACCAAGTAGAGGTAATTAAGTTATGGAGGCAGTTCCACCCATACTGTTCTCATGATAGCAAGTTCTCATGAGATCTGATGGTTTTACAAGCATCTGGCACTCCCCCTGCTGGCATTGATTCTCTCTTCCTGCCCTGTGAATAGGTGCCTTTTACCATGATTGTAAGTTTCCTGAGGCCTTCCCAGCCATGTGGAACTGTCAATTAAACCCCCTTTCTTTATAAATTACCCAGTCTTGGATATTTCTTCTTATCAATGTGAGAAAAGAGTAATACAATTATTCTCTTTTGAAAACCTTTAAATAGGAATGGATAGGATTTTTGTTTAGCAATTTAGTAAGTCAACAAGTAATTATAAATTCACCTAGTGTTAAATTTTCCATAGTCTATAATTGAGTAAGAAATACTACATCAAGGAAAATAGTTGAATTTCACATTCTAACCTAAAAGTGTCACTGATTTTGGTAACACAATAAAAGTGAACTTGCCATGATTTTAAGAACTGATAAAACATCTTGTTAGCTCCCACAATTGGGAGTGTTTTAATTTAAAAAAACAAATGTTGCCATACTCATACTAGCTAAAGCTTTCAGATATGAGCTAAAGCTAGACTTAATGTCCTAAGGGACAAGATAGCTGTGAGATCCTTTTGAGCACAGGATATGCTTTTTTCATTTAGACAATCCCTAAGACTAGCCAAGTTCTGGCACTGTTTAGACATTCATTAGCACATACCAATATGTTGTGGATATCTCATCTGGAAGTTAATGAAGATTAACTCTCCCCACATAGGAAGGAGATATTTCAAAGCAAGCAGGAGTGACTTAATTTTTCTGTTTATCACAGATGCTTGGAAATTCTAGCAAAAGCTTTGTGGTAGCTGCTAAAAGTAACTCTTCTCAATCATGGAAATTTTAGGTGGCAAAATGAAAGTAAAGTGTATAACCATCGGAACAATTTTAGCAAAGTGAGAAAATGAGCTGGGATGGAACATAAGATCCCTATTGGGATGGCATAGAAGCTGACAGGGAAGATAGGTTAGGCCAAGGCTGCTGTCCTTGGTTGCCATACTATGATGTTTAGAACTTGTCCTGGTTTTCAAGCATCATAGTTGCAATGATAAAGCAGTATTATAAAAAATTACTCTAATAGTAGTATATGAAGTCTCCAAGCAGATATAAAGTGCAAATAAAGTAGAAATAGGAGTGGAGAGTTTCAGGAAGAGTCCACTGTTAAGAAAAACACAGTCTTCAGGATGTGCAAAGGGAGAAATATTTTTAATGACAAGGCAGCAGACAGAGCCAAATGTTCAGAGAGTATAAACAGAAAAAAAGTTGTTGAATTTGGCAAATAAAATTTTGTCAGTGAATTTAAAGAGAGGATTTCAGTAGGCTCAAGTGTGGCACTGCTAAATAAATAGTGGCTTAAAATTAGAGTTGGCCAGGCATGGTGGCTCATGCCTGTAATCACAGCACTTTGGGAGGCTGGGGCGGGCAGATCACAAGGTCAAGAGATCGAGACCATCCTGGCTGACATGGTGAAACCCCGTCTCTCCTAAAATACAAAAAAATTAGCTGGGCATGGTGGCGCACACCTGTAGTCCCAGCTACTCGGGAGGCTGAGGCAGGAGAATTGCTTGAACCTGGGAGTTGGAGGTGGCAGTGAGCCAAGATCGTGCCACTGCACTACAGCCTGGCACCTGGCAACAGAGCAAGACCCTGTATCAAAAAGAAATTAGAGTACATAATTACCCATACACAATTGTTGTTAATTTTTAATCGAAAATGTTGGCAATAGTGAAAATTTTGGCAACCTGTTTATTTTACAGGTGCAGGGAAGAAAAGTTTGGAGATAAAAAGATTAAAGACGTTTTAAATTAAGAAAAAAAAATGAGAGAGCAGAGACTGTGAGGAGAAAATGGATTGAAATTAGCCCCAGAAAGAGAAAGGAGCAGATCTACCTCAGATAAAGAAATGAAGCAAAGAAGAAAGATGAATATAAACAAAAGTACTTGTGATTAGAGAAGGAAGATAGGTAAAATAGTGAGAAAAGAAATAAATTTTATTGTTAAGACAGGAAGTGAGATTATCTGAACAAATTGAGGCTAATGGAATGAGATTAAATGTTTGAGGTAATCTGAAATTAAGAAAAAATGGTACTGGGATATTGATACATGAATTTAAAAATTTGCTTTTTGCAGTGAACTAAATGTTTGAGGCCACAATGAGTCAAACTGACACATTCCAGTAACTCTCAATAGCTATTATATAGCCTATGAGCATTAAAAATGATTAAATTGGTCAGGGGTTGATCCAGACACTGCAGATCTGGCTATAGGTTAAAGGTACAAGGCAATCTAGAGCGTTAGGACTCTGTAAAGGTGACTGATGAAAATTCTGACCAAGCAAGGAATCAAGTGCAGTCAGAGGGAATAATGACTGAAGAAAATGAGGAGCTGGACCATTAGAGGTCTCCATGAGGGCAGATTCTGGTCAAGAGCATGGGAGAGCATCTGAAACACAGACTGCAGCAATATTGCAATGCCAAAGGCACAGCGGCCTTGTCTTCCTAATAGTCTCCCTGGAGTCCCATAAACTTTAAAAAAATAGATGAAATAATATAGAAACTTGTACTGAAAGATAAACAATTGTTTACTACCATTTGAGGTTTTATTGTTTCACTCATAGAGCATTTTCAGGAAGACACAACCTCACTAAATAGAGAGACATGTCTACTGCTGCCTTCCAAATAGCAGTAAGTGATTAACAGCCATCATCAAAACTAACTCTACATTGAAGGTAAGATAAATAAGTTCACTTCTCATTTTGTCTAATTGTCTCTCTGAGCACAGATCAGGCAGCTTTGGAACAGCATTTATTTTCTCACAACTTTAGAATGGCATTTTCTTAAGGTATGTTTATATTAATTTAGTAAACATCTATTGAAGTCCTACCATGTGCTGAGACACTGTTACTAGGGAATCCAAGCATGCCTAGCTCACAAAACTTCTTTGATAAAAGTTTCTGCTGGAAGGTGCTTTAAGATTGGTCAAGGGAAAAAAAATAGAAGGAGGCAATCAGCAATTGAGCAACTATAACAAAGTTATAGGCTAAGAGTTAGCATAGAATACCATATATATGAGAAAGCATAGGAAGCTATGAGTCAAATAACACTTCAATCCCTGAGACCCAGTAGGAAAAACAAAGACAGAGAGTGAGAGAAAATAGGTAACGAAATACATAAACCAAGCAAAACCATGAATTAAGAAAGCCATAAACATAGCACAAAAGAATATCAGTTTCAATGATAAAAATGTTGCAGTTAAACAGTATAATAAGCTAACCACACCTGAGTTAAGAGGACATGATTGTTAATATCCAATCAGAATAATGTGATTGTTTACGCTCCAAGAATAATGTTTACTCTGGCAATTAAATATATAATCAGTATGCATGATGCTGGAGAGATTGTAGATAAGAGAAATAAGCTAGAGGGGAATTATACTGTAGTTTACATATATGTGACAAATAAATAAATAATTACTGAAATGCACATTTCTCCATGAGTCATTTTTGTAGCATATTTTTACATACAATAGACAGAAAGCCAATTCAATTCATTTAGGCCAAGGAAAAAAAAGGCACTAATGTGCTATTTTATATGACTAATTTCAGGGGAAATGTTAGCTTCAGGAATGGTTGGATTCAGAGATTCAAACAATATGATTGGTATTCCATCACTTTCCATTTCTTGGTCCAACTTTGTTTTATGATGACTATATTTTAAGTATGGCCTCTTTATATTACAGGTACTGATATTTCCAGCCTTGTCTTTTCCTTACAAAAACCAATCTCTCACCCACAGAAAAATAAATGAATAAACTTTCATAATATTTCGTGATAATTTTTTTATTGGAATTGAATCTTGTGTACCTACTTTCTTCATGTATCAGTCTCTGAACTACAACCAGGGATAAAGAATCTATATGAATCATTGCCCACTCCCCAGGCTAGAGATGGAATAAGCTCAACCAAATCATATGGACCTAGAGAGAGGAGGGCTGTTCTCAGATCAAAAATGGAGTCACTGTTATCAGAATCATGTTTTAGATTAGTATTTCTCAAGCTAGGTTGGTAGGGAAGAAAGTGTATCAGGATCTTGGAGATGGGAAGAAGAATTCTATGATTATAAGTAGGGGATATGGAAAGAAGGGGGAACATGTATTGAATAAAACTGAGAACTACTATTTGAAATATATTACTGTCTATGATAAGGATATAATCTATGCTATTTCTATATCCAGATGTCCACACAACATATATATCAAAAATAATGGGAACCTTTCTATTTACCATCAACCTACTTGGTCCTAAAGAAAGAGAAACCATCCGAGTTCATTTCCTATCCAGTCTAGCTTTTATTAGAGCTGCACATGATAAACATGCCTAGTAGAAATAAATCATTCATCACAAAACAAGTAACATGAGATAGTGGAATCTGTGTACGAGTGTGGTTGTAAATATTATATGTTACTACTTACTCTGACATTTCCCCAAACTTTAATTATCTACTTTCAAACTTTGGATATGTTTAGGATGTTATAATGCATGTCTAAGTTTCTCTCAAAAACAACATCCAAGTACATTTGCCATAAAAGGAACTCTGGGCTTAAGACATTTAAAGCCACACTACACTATACATTTTATTGGACCTCTATTGCATTCTTATATACAAAAGACTCTAGTGCACATAAGAATCACATTGTTTATGCATTAACTTACTGAACACACAATTATATAATGTCATATGTTGTTTAGAAAATGTATTGATTCACATATTTTAAGGCTTTAGTCTATTTATGAAGATAAATCACAATTCAATTTGAGAGCATTAAAAAACAATAATCTCTAATACAACACAGCAAATGATATGAAAATATGTTTCAATGCAGTGAATACAAGGTATGAAATATGAAAGAAAGGTTGTATAAATGCCATCCTGGCCGGGTGTGGTGGCTCACGCCTAGCACTTTCGGAGGCCAAGGTAGGTGGATCACAAGGTCAGGAGTTCAAGATCAGCCTGACCAACATGGTGAAACTCCATCTCTACAAATACAGAAAAATTAGCCAGCCATGGTGGCACGTGCCTATAATCCCAGCAACTCAGGAGGCTGATGCAGGAGAATCGCTTGAGCCCGGGAGGTAGAAGTTGCAGTGACCCAAGATCAGCCACTGTACTCCAGCCTGGGTGACAGAGTGAGAAGTCATCTCAAAAAAAAAAAAAAAAAAAAAAAGTGATCCTATATCATGTTCAAAAAGAAAAAAAATGAACATGCAATTATTTTTAAGAGCTGACTTTAATTTTCTATATTTCATTCTAGAACATCAAATCATTTTTAAATTACCATTTATATTATGGCTATTAAACACATGTCTAGTAAATGATTTTTGAAAATTCAGGAAATGTGAATATTTAGAAACTTTAAAATTATTTTTGTGTGCTCTATTTCAGCCCACTATTTTGGTGGCTGAAATACGGACTTTTTAAATCTTAAGTTACCTATACCACTTCATCAATGATAATACCATCAGAAATATAACAATTTTTAATAACCTCTGATGTTATAAACTCACACATGGATTTCACACTTAGCTTTGGGATTCTTATTTCTCTTTACAGTCTTCTTTGACAGGTAGTTTGCAGACACATTTTTTTCAAGTCAGGCATTTCTCAATTACATAAATATTTTTAATTTTT